ATGTATAGAAGGTGTGTAGATGGTTCATGTGTTTCCAGAAAGAGCTTAATAACAAGGCATTTTGAAAAAGCAGAACAACATCAAAGAATCTCAGCTACAGGATCTTGTTAATTGTCTCTTTAAGGAATTAATATTGGATTATTTCCAGCTTTCTCTGTCTCTAATCGAGATTTTAAATCCTGGGTGAAATAAGATGATTTGCTTCACTGAGGTTGGAAGCCCAAACTTGTGGTCAAAGTCAATTCTTGTAATTTATTTTCCTAATTGGTTTATACAAAGAGAAAATTACCTGGAAGAGGGTTATTGAAAAAAATTAAAAAGAAAAAATATCCATTAAATTTTGTTACTGGGTTTTTAAGCAGACACATGCAGAAACATCTTATTGTTTACATGGTTCTAAAAATCTCATGCTTACTTTAATAAAGTAACATTTACATAGCACCCACTCTTAGGTATTTTTGTGATCAAAGGATACATTAGTGAAAAAAATAAGGAAACTTGCTTTAATTGAATATACATTCTAGTTCAGAGAAAGAAACAAAAAACAAATAGTAAACAGTAAAATCAGTATATCTTCTAATATGTTAGAGTGCAATGAGTCATATGGAATATGGAATATAGAAAAAAGTAGAGAGCAGCAATAGAGTTGAGGTATTGATTATTTCAAATATGATATTCAAGGAGGCATCACTAAAGCAAAGACATAAAGTAACTGAGTTGTTTGCAGTTGCACAAATATCTAAGAGAAGAAAATTTCGGTAGAAAGAGTAATCTGTCCAAAGGCTTGGAGCCTAGAGCATGCCCTGGGCACTGTAGGAAGTCCAAGGAGACCATGTGGCAGTACTGGAGACAGAGAGAGGGAGAGAGTGTCACAGATGAACGCAAAGAGCTATTATCTTTGGGGATAAAGGAAAAAGCCGAGGGACAGATTGGGAGTTAGTGCTCCTGAAAGGAGACTACCCAGAGTCACAGATGAGCCATGGTAGGGGCCTCTGGGTTATGTGCATCCTTCTTTACACTTGTCAACATCTTACAGTTTTTGCATTCTGTTAAACTCAAGCACTGTTGTCACAATTTTAAATAAAACAATGTGGAATGCAGAAGATATTGAAAGGGAAAATTTTAAATTGTGAAATACCATTAAATGCTATAATAGCCAATTCTGTCACTGATTATAGTGATGTGATTATTATACTTGTATTTAAAAATATTTATTTATTTGAAAGGCAGAGTGTTAGAGATACAAGGAGCAGAGAGAGAGACAGAGAGAGAGAGAGAGAGAGCAAGAGAGAGAGAGAGAGAGAGAATGAAATCTGCTGGTCCACTCCCCAAGTATCCTCAATTGCTGGGGGTGGGACAAGCTGAATGTGAGTAACAGGAACTCCATCCTCGTCTCCCGCATGGGTGGCAGGAACTTAAGTATTTGAGCCATCATCTAGTGCTTCCCAAGCACATTAGCAGGGAGCTGAATTGCAAGTGGAGTAGCCAGGAGTCAACCAGAACTGGATATGGAATGTCTTTACAAATAAATTTATTTATTTTAACAAAAATGTTTAAATAAATATATATAACATTTATTTCAAAGACAAGGAGAAACAAAGAAATTTTGTATCTGCTGTTTCGCTCTCCAAACACCTGCAACAGCCAGGGCTAGAGCAGGCTGATGCAAGGGACCTCAAACTCAATCTGGGCCTCCCACATGAGTGGCAGGGACCCAAGTACTTAAGCTAACACTATTGCCTCTCAGAGTACCAGTTAGCAGAGTGCTGGAATCAGAAGCACAGTCAAGACTTGGATTTAGGCACTGCAGTGCAGGACACATGTGTTCCAAGCACTGTCCTATCCACTTCATCCCAGGCCAAACCCTATATGCATATTGATGTGTATTTTCATTTAGAGACAAGGTTTTTACTTTGAGAATTATAGTACTTGATTGGAATCCTCATAGTACCTTTGGCCTAAGCCCATCCAAAACTCATTATATAAATGTTGGTGAATTTAAAGATGACCAGGAAATGCAAAATAGTCCTTTTAAATAACACTTTTACATTATTTTATTTTATTATTCATATGTAGTATTTCAAAACACTCATCTTGGTTCAAATAGAAACAAGTATTTTTTGCAATCATATTTCACTGGATTTTTTAGCACAAAATTACATATCTCTGGTAGAATAAATAGATTAATAAATATGACTGTTTTAAAATGTTTTGAGAACAGACACAGATGACTTCACTTGTAAAGGTACATTGGAAAATAATCTGCTAGACAAGAGTGTTCATTGCGCCACAGGAATCAGGGTGCTTTATGGAAGGAACAGACATGCTGGCTTATCTATTACTTAAAAATATTTCTTTGCTTATAGGTAAGTTTCTCAGTCATACAACATAATTTTTCACTTGTGTGAGTTAATATGATTTTAATAAATTAAAAGCTTTTATTGTACCATACATTGACTCAGTGGACAGCAAAAGGGTATAATTAATCCTCCCAATTAAAAGATAAGTATTGTGCTAACTAGAAAATTTACGTATTTGTTCAAAACACAATTCATTGTCCAGATGACAACTCAAGGCTCCCCAGTTTCAGTCGTGTTAAACTATGTGTCTCAAAGTACAGAGCTTGAAAATGGTAGTCAGGATTTGAAAAGCATTTTTCTTCAGTGCTTATAACACAAACTGTTATAAGCTATAAATTGACCTAGATTTATGTGATGTCCGTCACTGAGGTGGTGAACTGAAAGAGGAAATCCTCTGCTTTTCTGAGCACTATGTTCCTGAGCAGCAATCATGAGGACGCTATTTTTGATTGTTTCTATACTCTGTTAAATCTAATTATATTCTATGAAAAAGACAAATATAACTCTCTCAGTATAAAAGCAAAATTAAAATTGCAACAGGATTTAAATGTCTAATTTACAATTAACGCAATAAAAATCCAGTATTAACATTTTTTAAAAAATTACCAATTCATATAATTTTTTTTGACAGGCCGAGTTAGTCAGTGAGAGAGAGAGAGACAGAGAGAAAGGTCTTCCTTTTTCCGTTGGTTCACCCCCAAGTGGCCGCTAAGGTTGGCGCATTGAGGCTGGTGCACTGTGCTGATCCAAAGCCAGGAGCCAGGTGCTTCCTCCTGGTCTCCCATGCGGGTGCGGGGCCCAAGCACTTGGGCCATCCTCCACTGCACTCCCGGGCCACAGTAGAGAGCTGGCCTGGAAGAGGGGCAACCGGGACAGAATCTGGTGCCCCAACCAGGACTAGAACCCAGGGTGCCGGCGCCGCAGGCAGAGGATTAGCCTATTGAGCGACGGCACTGGCCAAGAATTCATATTATATATATATATATATATATATGACAGGCAGAGTGGACAGTGAGAGAGAGAGACAGAGAGAAAGGTCTTTCTTTGCCATTGGTTCCCCCTCCAATGGCCACTGTGGCTGGCGCTGCTGATCCGATGGCAGGATCCAGGTACTTATCCTGGTCTCCCATGGGGTGTAGGGCCCAAGCACTTGGGCCATCCTCCACTGCACTCCCGGGCCACAGCAGAGAGCTGGCCTGGAAGAGGGGCAACCGGGACAGAATCTGGCTCCCCGACTGGGACTAGAACCCGGTGTGCCGGCGCCGCTAGGCGGAGGATTAGCCTAGTGAGCCGCGGCACCAGCCACAATTCATATAATACTAAGTAAAGTTTTTGTCACACTGGAAAACCCAGTTCCTTAATATTGAAATCTTGCTCTTCCTTTAATGTTCAGTTCAAATTTTCCCTTCTCTCTTCTCAGCTCATTTTCCTACTTCAAGGAATAAATACTTTTTCTTTTCCATTTTTTTTCTTAACCATTTGTTTATGTATTTTTGACAGACCTGTTTATCTTGCATTATCTATGGTACTCTTTCTTCGTTTTTTGTATTTCTATCTTCTCACTCCCTGTGTTCATAAGCTATACGTGTATTCATTTTAATTTATCCTCTTTGCATGGAGACTGTTACACAGTGAGTTTATGAGGTGAGTGTCTGTGTCCTGCATAAGATACCTCCAGCCACTACAGAATTTATTCTCTACCCAACCAGAAAGTACTCCTTGCCCTGATTTTTATTTTGGATTATGTCTTCCCTTGGAAATCTCTCATGCTTTTCACTTCTCACTTCTCACCACATTTGAGGTTTTATTTTTCTATTTTTTAAGGTTTATTTGTTTATTTGAAAGGTAGGGTTACAGAGAGGTAGAGGTAGAGAGAGAGAGAGGTCTTCCATCTGCTGGTTCACTTCCCAAATGGCCACAATAGCTGGAGCTGGGCCGATCTGAAGCCAAGAGCCAGGAGTTTCTTCATGATCTCCCAAGCAGGTGCAGAGGCCCAAACGCTTGGGCCAGCTTCCACTGCTTTCCCAGGCCATAACAGAGCTGGATCAGAAGTGGAGCAGCCGGGGCTCAAACAGGCACCCATTTGGGATGCTGGCACTTCAGGCGGTGGCTTTACCTGCTGTGCTATAGCACCAGCCCACCCCCCTTCTTTTTTTAAATAGAGAGACAGAGAAAGAGGGATCTCCTATCTTCTGATTTACTCCCCAAATGACTACAACAGCCAGAGCTGATACAAGCTAAAGCCAGGAGCCTGGAATTCCATTCAGGTCACCCATGTCACTAGGTTGCAGGGCTCCAAGCACTTGGGCCATCTTATACTGCTTTCCAAAGCACATTAGCAGGGAGCTGCATCAGAAGTAGAACAGCAGGAATTAAAATTCCTGCTGATATGGAATGCTGGATTTGTAGGCAGCAGCTTAACCCATTAAGCCATGATGCCAGCCCCATTTTTTTGCCGTTGTTTAAGCATTGGAAATATAGTATACAAAGTGACTTCTTGTTTTCCATGATAAGAGGTTAAAAAAAAAAGAAAACAGCTGTCTTAGTCTGTGGAACAAATTCAAGTCACATCTAAAAGATCAAAGAAAATTTCATGCCCTTGATTTCCTTTATGATTTTTCTTGTTGATCTGACTTTTTGTTATCTCCATTTGATAGCTATAGATATTCCCATTACTCTTTTCAGTGCAGTTTTCACCTCCTGGTTCCTCAGACTGTAGACAAGAGGATTGAGTAGGGGAGTAACCACTGTGTAGGTCACTGCCACCAACTGATCTTTGTCTGAGGCAGACTTGGACTTGGGTCGAAGGTAGATGATGGATGCACAGCCGTAGTGGACAAAGACCACAGTGAGGTGTGAGGCACAGGTAGCAAAGGCCTTCCTCTTTCCCTCAGCTGAGGGAATCTTCAGGATGGTGTTAACTATGAACCCATAAGAGATGAGGATTAAGAGAAATGGCACCATAATTACCAGAATGCTGAGGCTGAACAGAGCCAGCTCTTTCACATGTGTGTCAGTGCAGGCTAATTTGATAACAGGTGCCATGTCACAGAAGTAGTGGTTGACCCTGTTGGGGCCACAAAAAGGCATGTCACAGATGAGGTTGGTGGCCACCAAAGCAATGAAGAAACCTGTGGCCCCTGATAGAGAAATCAAGCCCAACCCTAGCCTTTTGCTCATGATGAGAGTGTACCTCAGGGGGTGACAAATTGCTACAAAACGGTCGTATCCCATCACAGCAATGAGGAAGCAGTTGGTACAGGCAAAGCCAAGGAAGAAAAAGAGCTGTGTGGCACAGGCCACGAAGGAGATGGTCTTGGTGGCTGACAGCAGGTGGATCAGCAGCTGAGGGATAATGACGAAAGTATAACAGGATTCAGAAAATGAAAGGATGAATAGAAAACCATACATAGGAGTGTGTAGAGTATGGCTGAAGTGGATAACAGCCATGATGGTTGCATTGGCCAACAGAATCATCAAGTACAGCAGCAGGAAGAAGACAAAAAGCAGTAGCTGGAGCTCCCCCAGGCTGGAGAAGCCCACCAGGATGAACTGTGTCACCGTTGTGGTCCTGTTGAAACCTTGCATCTGGATAATTTCTGTGCATGAATTTAGGAAAGATAAAATGATAAATATTATTGTAATAAAAGCATTTTCCTAATGCTTTCACTTTGTGTATATTGTCAGGCTTAGAATATTAACATCCATTTCTCTCTCAATCTTAGACATATGTAACCCATTTGATAATTTTTAGCAGGAAATATTAATCTGTAACAATAGGAAGGCAATTATCTATATTACAGGAAGACCAGAGGTGAAAAGAAATTATTTACTATTTTCAAAAAGTAATTAAATGAGAAAAATTCTGTTTAAGAACATTACTTTTTATGAGGAAAGAAAAATTTGAATTGTTGTCCTTGAACCATATGTATTTCCTTGTACTCATGCATGTATAAGATGTCATAAAATGTTGGTTTCTTTCTCCATTATCAGAATACATTCACTTAACATTATTATAATAGCATTAAAACACGATGTCTCACAGCTTAGACACAGGGGCCAAAATGCTGGAGTTTTAATTTTGCCTTTGCCATTTATAGCTATGAACTTCAGTGTGACTCACAATTTTTTTTTCATTTGTGAAATGCAAATAATAATAGAGCATATTATAAATGATGTGGTCTTCAAGCAGCGTATGGGAAAATGTATATAATGAAAAATCTTTAAACGAGTTTCAAAATTTTTGTACTAAACTGAACTTATCTTTTAATTCAATTTTCATAATCTTTTTGAAATATCCTTGTGTAGTATGTTATATCTAATTAGCTTAAATAATGTAAGTAATGTGTTTGTATACCACTTAACATATAGTAACTACCTTCCATGTGTTCATTCAGTTTGCTTTAGTCACATATACTCAGGGTCACAGGAGCTGAGAATCAAATGTCCCATCTTTGATAAGTGAGCACTGGAAGAATCTAAACTCTTGAATCAGAATGGAGTGTTGCTGAATTTAACTCATATGGCTGTATCCGTTGAATTTTCTGTTTTAATAAGTGAAGCAATTTAAACATGCATAGTTAAATAAGGCATTGGCATTTTACATTTTTAATTAGTTCATTTAAATTGACAAATAATAATTGGCTATATTTATGGAGAATAAAATGTTTTGATAAATACATACATTGTGGAATGATCAAGTCAGAGAGGCTTAATTCATCTACCCATCATTTATCATCTAAGGACTCTTCAGCCTTCAGGTTCATGATTCAACTACAATTAATCTGGATGGTTATGGAAAAGGGAGAAAGGCACAGCAAAATATCTGGGCCACAAGGCTGTGATATTCTTGCATATGGGGAAAGAGATGGGTGATCCCTTGGGATAGAGGTGGAGCAGGAGCACCTTGTCAAGGGTGATGTCTGAAAGGGGAAAGAACAAGAATGCACCTTGAATCTCTTGCAATTAAAAAGCTATAAAGTGTTATCAACAAGAGAAAGGGAAGAGGCTATCTCAGAAACCTACACTGTCTTACATTCTAGGCAATGCCTCCCTCCAGAGCCCTTTTACATTCAGAATCAGGTTCAGAGATCCAGGAGAAACCAGGTATAATATGTATGTCACTCAATATCTCCCGCTTTGTTGGCCACGTTTAAGGCTATAAAATGTAAGGAGCTACTTGACAAGACACATACGTCTATGTTCACTGACCTGCTCATTCATTTGCACAGGTAATTCCATACACCTGCTACAATATCCTCTTCCATTGATTCAGTCTTCACAGAAGTAAGATCTTTTTATATAAGCTACTTCATTTTGACCTCAACAACCTTGTCAATAGTGCAGGGGTCTTTGTCTTCAGTCAGGCAAGGCAAATGCACTAAACGCTCTTTCCTGAGCAGAATAGCCACTGAGCGTCTTCTCTGCTGAATTTAATATACTGGATTGAACTCACCTCCCAGGATGTTTAGCTCCCTCAATAGATTATAAGTTTTTTATGAGCAGAAACAAAATTTTTATTAACAGTTAAAAACCTAGCATATAATAGAATTTGTGATTCAATTAATAAGGGTTGCAAGTTTTTTACCTGGAGTGTAAATTTTTTTTAAAACATACTCAAGTGTTAGATTCCATAGTAGGATTTAAGTCTTCTAATTTCCAACCCTACACTTTCTTTACCTTGCCAGAAGATTACCAGTCTATATACTTTTTCCAAGGGACCAAAGTATAGTTCCATGATGTTTGTTGAAGTTAAACTTGTATTGTCATTTTTGACTTTCCAGGAATAATACAATTTTGATTACTCAGTTTTCTAGGACTATAGAACTTTATAATATGGAGTACTATTCTGACTCTAAGATTAGGCAGGTAAACAAAAAGGACAAAGGGCTAGGGAATTAAGCAAGTCCATGACATGGTTATTGAACACACTTAAGGAAGTTCAAGAGGATGAGCTTTATTTCATTGTCAATCAAACAACTTTATCTCCCCCTAAGTCTTCAGCTTCTTTATTGTAATTCTTGATCATATGCTAGATATCCATTATTAAAACAAATGCTTTGAAAAATGGAGACGGAGACAGAGACAGAACTTCCACACCCTGGGTCACTCCTGAAATGCCTGCAACAGCTGAGCCTGGGCCAGGCTGAAGCCAGGCGCCCAGTCCCACATGAGAAAAGGGGGCCCAAATGCTTACGCTGTCAGTTGCTGCTGCCGCCAAAGCTGTGCATCAGCAAAAAGCTGAAATCAGAAACATGGGTGGGGCTCAGAAACAGAGCTGGGACTCTTATTGGGGCATTCCAATATGGGATGGGCTTGTTCCAAGTTGCATTCCAACTGTAATGCCAGATACTCACTTCAATATCACTTCAACCATCATAGTACTATTTTCATAATGTTCTACATATGTGTTTCCCCCATTGTTTTCCACATTCAAATTCCCTCATGCTGCATGTTCTCCAATAAAGTGTCAGTGATTGCTAGAGTCCACACAGGTGTTCTTTCTATTTAAAATACTCAGAGCTCTTAAAGTTACCTATGTAAGGCAAGTCATTTAGACACTATCTTGCATTTCTGTATAATTAAATTGCCTATGTTCATGTTTCATATTCCTACTGAAACTGTTTCTTTGAGGCAGGGGCTATAGCACTACATTCTGAACTGTCTGAAGTCTGCATAACAGTACTGGATACACAACAGAATCCAACTAAGTGATAAATGATGGCATAGCTTAATTTTCCTTTCGTTGCTGTATTTTCTCATATAGGAATACTTTTTTCTGGAATATGCTCTCTGGTCATCTATAATTCATATAATTTTCTAATTTTGTCTCAAAATCATTTTTTAATTAAATAAACCTGCACTGATGAGCTTTCCTTCCTCCCCTCCCCATTATGTCAATTAATTGACTCCCTAGTATTTCAATTTGATGTATGAAGGGAGTTTGAGAGTGTGTGTGTGTGCACTTAGAATAGAAGCCTCTTTCAAAAAATGGGTGGAAAGTTTTTCATAACAGTAAAAAACGATTTATGCAAGTGGACTCCACGTTGAAAGCTTTGTGAAAATATATATTCTTCTTTAGATAGAAACTGGCAAAGAAAATATACTTACCCACTAAAGTCCAAAAGATCGAGGAAGTTTGCACGTGACTTTAAATTCGATGAATCAGTATTGAAAGTCTTTAAAATATTGAAGCAGGCCGCAAAAGGTCAGTTGTAAGCACAATAACATCTGTAGTGAGAGATTAAGTGACTGGAAAAAAATACACTGAAACATTATAGAGGGTTCACCCAGATGCTTAGATATCTGAATCTAAGTCTTCAACGACAGGCAGAAAACAGCCCAATCTATATTTGTGCATTAATTCATATTCTATAATTGGATTGGAGAATATTTATAGCCCTCTGGGATTCTAAGGACTAATGACCTCTGAGATTTAAGGATAACTAAAGCAAGAGCGAAAATAAATGAAAAAAAATTTGAACAAGGCCTTCTTATTAAATATCACAAGAAAATAATTCAGACTGTGGAAACAAAATGAATAAGCCAAGAGCTTTCTATCTCTATAAACCACTCAGAACGTAGAGAAGTATTCTTTCTGTATGGGTGGATTTAGTTACTTTCTCATAAAAATGCTACAAACGCTGCAGTAACTGCAGAAACCAATTTCTCCAGCTATGAGATTTACGTAAGAATTGGTTTGATAAAGCAGAAGATAATTGGATTGGTGGATGGAGGTGTACGAGGCACTTTAGGGATTTACGTGAGTAGTCTGCCTTGCTTCTATATGCAAAGCCCGAATACAAAGTCAGACAACTGGATTTCTTCATTTCCTCCAGAGAGTTAGTGTAAGGGAATGACTTTCATTTAGCAGCAATTCATTGAGTATCCCGTGATTTGAAAATCACTTTGTTAAGCATTACAGTGATACAGAGATAAATACATTATATGAGTTGATCTGACCCTGTAGGAGTGATAGATGTAAGCCCAGCCGTGTGATAAGATGTGCAGTGAACCATGTGGTCATAAACAGGGCAGCTAGAAGGATGAACACCGCTAGCACAGACCCCCTTGCACAGTGCCAAGGCTGAATTCAGCCCAGGGCTGCATGTATACAGATGTTATGGAGTAAGAAGGCTACCTTGAAATATATGCTAGGAACAAAAAGTCATTACTAAGCATTTTATGCCCAAGACACTCCAATGCAACTCTAGCGAGGAGGAAGGTTGAGAACTCATTTTCAACAGTGGCTCTTTTCGTTATTGAATCAAACCTTCTTTCTGAAAACAACTCCACAGAATAACAGAGTGCAGCTGACAGAAACTAAAAACCAAATTTCCAGGCAGGAGTCAAAAATCAGATCTTCTGCATTAAATTGCAACTCAGTGCTGACATCTCAAGATAAAAGTGAAGCAGAACTAAATGCATCCCTTAGCCCACTGATGGCAGGCATTGTGATAAAGTTTCCTCAAAGCTGAACAAAGACGTGTGGGGGGTAGGGAAGAAAAATCTGTTGTGAGAGTATAAACTTCAGCCCTTCGTTCTGATTTTCAGCTCAAAATTCATCACCAGTCATCCTGAGAAAACTC